AGAGAGAAAGAGAAAGAGAGAAAGAGAGAGAGAAAAAAAAGAGAGAGAGAGACTGAGGGAGAGAGAAAAAAAAAAAAAAACTGACATGTCGATGGCGACTGAGCTGTCGGGCGTGGAGTGACGCGTCCTAGCGAGCGCGCACACGTGCTCGTCGTCGAGACGGCGGCACCTGTAGAGAGACAGGGGCAGGGCTTGACGCGGCAGTGGACGCGGGTGGGCGGTACCCCCCCATCGACATTCGAAATTCAAATTTGAATTCGGTCCGATTTGGGTCATGGATCGGATCGATCCGACGGTCCAGGTCGGGCCTTCAAGTTTCGACAATTTTGGAGGCCCTGCTGGCCTAGGATTCTTGAGACCGAGGTCCAACAGGAAGCCCCACCGAACCACCAGCCTCCTAAACCCCCAAAAACCCCTAAGAGGCCCGGCCCCTATTTTCCGCAGGGCCCGGACCTCTGGCGGGCACCGGACCACCGGCCCGGTGGTCCGGTCGGACGGGGGGGCCCGGACGTCCAATGAAACAACCTAGGTTTCAGTTTTATTGTTTGACTGAAAGCAGATTATGGGATTGCATCTGGGGGAAGGATGAGAGGGAGGCAGTATTGCGTGTTTGACTGGGTCTATCAAAGGTTGGGCAAGTCTCCATAAGTTTGGGAAGGCCCAGTGCTATGTTTATTTTGAATTGCTTGGAGAACCAAACAAGTTTCATAAGTTTGGGTGGTCTGGTTGCTCTGACTTGTGAGAGTTGACTTTGATTGACTTTTCAAGGACCAGGCATGTTCCATAAGTTTGGGTGGCTTGGTCGCCTTGTTTACTTTGGGTTTCTTTCAGTTTCTTTTGGTTATGAACGAGGAGGTCTGAGCATGTTCCATAAGTTTGGGTGGCTCAACCTCTTCCTGTTTTGGCTTTAGGAGAATGAACTAGGCTAAGGACCAGACATGTTCCATAAGTTTGGGTGGTCTTGGTCCAATGCCACCCACATGCTGGAACCAAAAGGTTACTATCCTACTTATGAACAGGCTTGTCAGACTGGGTTCCATAAGTTTGGGTGGTCTGACTATAGCTTATCACCAACTGAAGAAAGTAATAATTAAGAATAAACTTGTAGTACGAAGGGGCAGACTGAATGTTGAGCTAAAGATGATCGGTTCAGTTATATGTTACCTCAAAAGACTAAGTGAAGATAATTATATAAAACTTATATTTAAATCATTCAGGGCGACTAGGGTGGCCTAGTCATATGCTCAAGGAAGAGAAAAGTTGTTGTGCCCTGTGTTTGTGTATACTCAATAGCTGAGCTAGACATGTTCCAATATTTCGGGTGGTCTAGCTTTATGCCCTTTGTAAGCTGGGTATAAAGGGATAAATCATTGAAAGACTATGAACTATTATTTGATAAGTTGACTTGCGGGTGGTGTGAGTACTTACCTTTGTGGTTTGGCCTGCATGTGGCTGAGCGAGATCACTACTTAGTATGAGTTTTCGTTAATAGGTAGTTGCTTTAGTTCCTCGCCACGTGCTAGAGCCTTATGAGTTAGTTTCAGTTCCTGCATTTACTTAGGTCAATTCCTGCGTTTTCTATGATCTTTTATTATACTTGGTCTTGTATAAATCTTGGTAAACCACTTTCTCTACGGGAAG